TCATGCACACGCATGCACACCACACATAGTACACAGTGCATGCGGGCACACGCCACACACTGTACGAGGTCATGCACACACATGTACACCACACATAGTACACAGTGCACGTGGACACGCACCACACACTACGTGCGAGCTCATGCACACGCATGCACACCACACATAGTACACAGAGTGCACGGGTATACGCCACACACGTACACATAATCACATGTGCACTCATGCGCACACACATGTACTCACCCTCTGGGGCTCAGACAGCTTGGGTTTTCTCCGCCTGCCTGAATCCTGACCCTGAGAGCAGCGTCCTGGGCTCACCTGGCCCGGGCCCCTCCCAGCACTGCCCCCTCAGGACAGCCCCCGCTGGGGCCTGGTGTCCCCCCTTCTCAGGACGTCTCCCCCACGCTCACAGCAGAAAGGCTCCTCGCTGCTCGGCCCTGTCCCCCTTGCCTGGTTACCTCCAGGATGCTTTATGCAAATACAGGCAAATCTGGCGAGGCCCCGCTCTGCTCTGCAGCTGGCTTTCTCCGCTGAACAGTCCCCTCGGAAACCCCTCCGCTGCACACACACCTCCCTCGTTTGCTGCTTCAGTGGCAGTGTTCTGTGCAGTTTTTCTTTGTATGGCCGCAAAAAACGTGTTCCGCCTGTTCCCCATTGATGGGTATTGGGGTTGTTGTAGTCTTGTAGGGGGACAAACAAGACCGCGATGCAGGGCATGTGTGAGGACATATGCGGGATGGATCCCAGGAGGGACATTGATGCGCCAAGTTCTGTCATCCTCACAGCCATGCCCACCTGCCCAGGCTCCAGCCCCCCACAGGGCCCGCGGGGTTCACGCTTTCCCGTGCAGCCCAGCTGCGTTGGGGCCTGGGTCCCACTGTGTTTTCGGGACCTTCTGTTTTGCCATCTGACTGGGTTTGATGTGTACACGACACACTGTTGATTTCTGTGCATTTGTTGGCTCCTTGTTGAGTCACCTCGCCGATTACGGTAGTTTCCGGTAGATTCGATTAGACTTTCTGGGTATTTGAGCTGGTCCTCTGCAAAGAGCTGTCACCTTTTCTTCTAAGTTTGCTCCTGAGACACCCTGCTCTTGTCTCGCTGTGCAGGTGCCTGTCGGACAGTGTTGGATCGCGGCGTTGACAGGACAGCCCTGTCTGTGTTTGCCTGTCACAGAAATGTGTCCAAGGCTTCCCTACACAGCTGGCTCCCAGGTCGGGGTTGATGTATTTCACTATGCTAGGGAACTTTCCAGAAGTTTCCACTGATTTCCGTGTTTTCGAGTAATCTCATCAAGAGGAGTTGTTGGTTTCCATCAAACGTTCTTTTTTAAGTCTGTGGAGATCGTTAGTTATTTTCCTCTTTAGATCTATGAAAAGGATATGATATGCTGATAGGGTTCCTAATAAGGAAGCAACCCCAGGATCTGGGGAAAAATCCACTCATTTGGGTGCATGGTTCTTTTCATGTCTTTCTGAATTCTGGTGCACGACGTTTCCTTTGGGACATGCGCTGTGAGCAGCTCGAAACAACTGCTCTGTTCCGTGCAGGTGTCCACGTGGAACCTGCTTTATAAACCTACCTGAAAAATGGAATTTTCCCATGAAACTGTGTGGATAGGCTGTTGCGGCCATTGTGCTAAAATGGGGTAGCTCTGGGACGCCTGGGTGGCTCAGTCGGTTAGGCGTCTGCCTTTGGCTCAGGTCATGACCACAGAATCCTGGCATCGAGCCCCGCATCGGGCTCCATGCTCCGCGGGAAGCCTGCTTCTCCCTTTCCCTCTGCCTGCCTGCCTGCCTACTTGTAATCTCTCTGTCAAATAAATAAATAAATAAATAATCTTTTAAAGAAATAAAATGGGGTAACTCTTCTGCAGAAACGGCCCTACTACGATTTTCCATCTCTTCTGAGATTGGTTTGGTAAGTTATGTTCTCCTAGAATACCATCTGTGAGTTACAGTTTTAAAAGTCATTTTCACAGCAGTAAGTGAAGTGTTCTCATGATTCTCCTGCTTTCTTCCACATCTGTGGTGATTTTTCCTCGTTAGGAAGTCTAATGCCACCACATAAATGCAGCCAGAACTAGGTTTGTAACCTGCACTATTTATCAAAAAAAAAAAAAAATAACTATTTATCAAAAAAAAAAAAATAGTGGGCCCAGCCAAAAAGTGCAGATTCCAAATGTGGGCGCCAGTTTCCAGCACACATAGAGGACAGCAAAAATACTGACTTTTGATCGTTTTGCACATGCGTTTGGCAAGTGGCAAGTGGTCCCAAACCCAAAGAAGTCCAAAAAGGGAGCTTCCCACATTTTCTATAACAGCTCGCATCTTGCTGTGGACCTGCATTCCTGCTGCAGGTGGGGAAAACCTAGATGTGCCAAATGTAGGTACCATGTCTTTCAGCTCTGGCAGGTGACCCATGTTCTGCACAAAAGATTTACAACCGCCGAGTGTCAGCTTCCAAAGGGAAAGAAAACTTTATTATAGAAACCCAATAGAAACAGAAGACGAAAGGAATCTACACGTAGATGAAAGTAATAGGGGGCAATAAATGGGAACAAGGCAAAGTTACATCAGATCAGGTGCTTACAACACCCGACCTTATCAGCTGGGGAAGCCCCGTGGAGACACCCAGGGTGGAGTCCCCACTGAGAGGCCTGGGCGGCTCAGCCTTCCTGCAGCTGAGACTTCCCACTGACCATCCCCATAAGGGCCATATTTATAGGGCCAGTGACGGGGTCTGAGGTTAAACATTGGTTCACCTACGTGCAGTTTGGAGTGAGCTGCATTTCCATGTTCTCATGTTTCTATGTCGTCAAGGAGCCTGGGCTATGTGTGTCTGCCTCCCGTCAGGGATTCCATCCTGGGGGGCCAGCCCAGCCTGGAGCAGGAGGGGATGTGAGACAAGATTCGTAGCCCTTGGCGTCCAGAACAGAAGGGCCAGTTCTGACCTGGAGGCCAAATCATATATTGTACATAACCAGGCTCCCGAGGTTATTCACGCAGCACGAGTCTCACAAACGCCATTCCTCAGCCTGCCTGTGCACGTCCCGGTGGTGGGTTCTGCGGGATAAATCACACAAACATCTGTCCATATGGCACATTCAGTTCTTGAGGTACCACGCATAATCTAACACCATATATACCGGCAAAGCACTTTTCACATATCCGTAAGTCCAGCAGCACATTGTAAGTAACACAATGAGCGGAATTATAAGTCAGGCATCCCTTAAAAACCCTCCCCAGTGGGGTAACCAATCAAACCAGGGGAAGTACTGATTTGACCAATTTCATGTCTCAACGTTATTTATAAATTTATCCATTTTTAAAAATTATCAGTAATGTTAAAACAGCACGTTCGTGGAGATTCATTACATTTTAAGTGATGCTGCAACAGAAGGTAATCTACAGTAGCTCTATTTTGTAATAATGTTTCTCACGAAGCAGTTAATTCCTGATTCATGGTTGTGAGGGCATTCGCAGTATCCTTAACTATTTTAGAGGTTATGCAAGAGAGCTGTGTTATTTCATTCTGTTCACACATTATTAATCCAGGTATAGCTCAAATGCTGGCTGTGAGAGCAACATCAGCAGAAGGAGGTAACAGGGTTAGAGGATCATCACAATCAGCGGGCAAGGCGCAGTTCCTGCGAAGACTTTCAAGAGGATGCGACGGCAGAAAGTTTCCCTATAGCACACGCACCTTGATGATGGTTAGGCGAATGGTTATACTGGAGGTTTGCACAAAGGCGATAACGAAGTGTCGACTGGGGAGTATATATGAGAGTTACGATTACAAGTAGAAGGAATTGTAGAGCAATTCACACATTTCAGTGAAAGGCATAGGTCCCTAATATGGGAAAGGGAGGAGGCACATCAATGTTAGCAATTGATAATGGAAGATTAGTACTATTGAGGTGTAAGAATTTACTTAAAGAAGTCCCTCTGCCAATGATATTTTGTCTTAATAGGTTTTGGGGACTATTTCCGTTGAGTACACAAAGAACTGAGGTTTAACACATTAGTTGCCAGGTGTACCCAGAAATTATTTTCTCTTAAAAGGACAGTAGGATTGTTATGCACTGTTACAAGTATTGAGTCTCGTTTAAAACTGACATCAGTGGGGGTCTGCTTTCTCCCTTTTATACATGTATATTCACTAAAATCGGACAAGGTGACGGCTTATAGCCCTATAGTGAAATTATAGTTATCTTGACGAGTTTGGTCAGTGAGGTTATGAAAACGTCCCACACAGTTTTGGGAATAAATCTCATATCTATTGTGATACCAGCCAAAGAACAGTTGGTCCAACAGAGCAGGCTCAGCGGTTGTCCTACTTCAATGGAGACAGCCGCGGGCTGAGTCTGCAGGATACGGGTGGGTTGTGTCCCCCTGGGAAAGCACAGAACCCACATTCGTATCTATGATTCGTGGAGGGAAACATACGTTAAGGGAACATGATGTAACTTCTCATCACCAGAATATATTACTATTACTGTAGCATCCCCTCCTTGAGCAATTACTTCAGCAGGAGTGGGAATACTGTCGGATGGCTTTGTCACCGAAGGCTTTGCCCCCAGCTTCCAAGCATCTCTGGAGCCAAACCCCCATCTCCCCTTACAGGGACAGAGCCAGGCTGCAACAAGAGTAATTGTCCAATCCAATCATATTTTTGTATTGAGAGCATTTGCTTTCCAGAATTGAGTGAAATGACCTTTGTCTCTCCTTGATAATCAGGATCGATGACTCATCCTAATATTTGTATTCCTCTTATGCCAATCCTGACCGCTCCATGATCTATCCAAATGTTTTGGGGGGAGGGCAATGAATTCCTAGGCTGGTAGGCACAGCCACCTGACAACTGTAATTTATTTGTGCTTCTCTCATAGAATGTAGATCTAGTCCAGCAGACTCAGGGATGGCTCTGTAAGGTAATTTAGCATCTGAATTAATACTCTAGCATATTAATGTTGATTGGAATGGTTTTGTCACATTGCTTATTTGCAAATAAGGGGTTTTCATCTGACCTAGCAGAGTTTCATTTTGACTAGTAGGTCTCTTGCTTAGGACTTTTAAAGCCTCAGTTAAGTATAGCTTCCATTTTGGTAAAGAGCCATCCGCTAATTTTTTTAAATTCCTGTTTAAGCAGTCCTTTTATCCATTCCACCAACCCAGCCATCTGAGGGTAATAGGGAATATGATAAATCCACTCCATATTATATGAGGAGACAAAAGTTTTCACTAACTTACCTGCAGAGTGGAAGCCTTTATCACTCTGGATCTGAATAATTACATCATAATATAATAAGATAGTCTCTCAGGTTTTATCGTATTCTGTTGGGTGGTGTGGGCAAAGGGAGAAACCATGAAGTACCCCGAACAAGTGTCCACTGCCCCACAAATGTATCAACAACCTTGGAAGCGGGGTACCAGCCCCACATAACCTACTTGCCAAATTTGGGTGGAGGAGTCTTCCCCACTGAATCTGTCTTTTGTACTGTTGTGGAATTTTCTACTTCTGCCAAATCTGACAAATTGGGCTTTTTTTTTTTTAAGATTTATTTATTTATTTATTTATTTTGACAGAGAGAGAGAGCATAAGTAGGGGGAGCAGCAGAGGGAGAGGGAGAAGAAGGATCCCCGCTGAGTAGGGATCCCGATGAGGGACTCGATCCCAGGACCCTGGGATCATGACCTGAGCCAAAAGGCAGCTGCTTAACCAGCTGAGCCACCCAGGTGCCCCCAAATTGGGCATTTTAATATGGTTTCTTTTATGGCTTCCTGAGTGATGGGTATCCCACGGTCCTGGACCCACCTGTGAGTAGCCTGCTCTCCCAAATGTCCATTTTTCTCATGACCTCATTGCGCCAGTTTGGTGTCAGTCCCAGGCTGTTATGTTCGCTGCGATTTGGGCGAGCGAGTCAGCTACTTCGTTGAGGTCCACTCTGTGGAGGTAGAAACACTGTGAGCATCCGCGTGGAAAACGGTAATTTTAGTATGGTGGGCCCATTGCCAAATGTCTTCCCATGGGGAGTCTTCCCTACATCTCTTTACCGGCAAAGGTCCTTGGGTGTTTTTTCCATCATGTCATCCATCCCGCTAGACCCTTAGCCGCTGACCATGAGTCAGTATATAGGTGACATTGTCCCTCTTGTTCTTGGCTTAAGACTGTGTAAACAGCAGAAAGCTCTGCATGTTGGCTACTCACCGCATCTCCCTGTGTTCGTAATGTCTTTTTAAGATGGTGGTTGTAAGCTACAGCCTTCCAGAGGTTAGCATTACTAATAACTTCTGCCTTTCATCAGTAAACCAGGCATGCTGTGGTTCTTCGGGTAAATGATCATTTGGCTTCCTCCCCATCATAGAGGAATGGGCTGATGGGACATCAGTAGAACATATTGACTCATTGGAATTAGTAGCCACGTCATTAGCTTCTTCATGTGGGTGATATTCCTTTTATGCCAGGCTTAGCCTGATCTTGTCTATACCACTTCTGTTTCATTATACTAGCTTCCTGCGTATGATTTTATGATTAGTCGGATTTCCTGGAATCCATACATACTGGGAATCTGAGGCCTCATTAATACATGATTTATAGTTATAAGCTCAGTACCAGCTGGTGTCCCGCAGCATGCCAATAATTGTTTTTTCAAATGAGGTATGA